CAATAAGAAACGTAAAATGTCGTATAAATGCTCAGTAAAGGACTCAGAATTTTTTATTGAAAATATGTTGCAAACTTTAAACGACTGAGAAAATTATTCAACACAAAATAACGTTTGCGATATAAATATAAAATAAATAAGAATGAATGCAAAAGGCTTTAGATGTTACGGATACTGTGTTGATCCATCCTGTAACACATATTTGTTTAAGAGGAACTGTAAAGTCAGCAAGTGTAAGCTGTACTAGTGGCTTGGGAAGAAATAACTAAAAAGTAAGTTGGACAGAGTCTTCTTGCCAGTCACCGCGATCAGTGTTTTTTTTTGTGTCCATTAATTCAATAAATAAATAAATAAATTTTTTTTTTCTATAAAAGAAAATAAATGTGTTTAAATTATTAATTCTAATAGTTATAGTTAAAACATATAACTCGCGTCTCAAATAAAATTCATGGTACAGTGGTAACACACTGATGCAAACTAAAGAATATTAAATGGAGATTACATATGAAATTTATGTTACAATATTATATATAAAAGCAATAATTGAATTTGATTAGAATTATGTAATAGATCTATTTTAAATCTATATATTATAGATCTATACTAGCCGGCGTGTTAATAGGATTGCTCTTTGGGGGTAAAAATGTATGTAAATAATTTAATTTAAAATATATATATAATATTATATTATTATTTATATTAAATGTTATATTAAAATTTAATATTTTTGTATCTTTCTTTAGCAACTGCAGCGTTAATAGCAGAAAAAAAAACAGCCAACGGCCAGTTGTTACTACCGGCGACGCGAAAAAAACCGCCAGCGGCAAGAAGAAAACTTTCGGCGGCAGGAAGAAAACCGCCATCGACAGGAAGAAAACCGTCGTCGGCAGGAAGAAAACAATGAAATAAAACGTAATTTAAATCATTTTTATTAAAATTTTCAAAAAAATTAACAAATTTCTTTTTTTTTTAACTTTTCAGAGTACAAAAAAGAAAAAGGAAATCACCATATGTAATTAATTTAAATAAGGGGGTAAAAGCAAATTAAATGATCGGTTCTTTGCTTTTAATTTAAAAAAAAATTTTATTTTATTTAATATATTAAAACAAATTATTCTTTTATTTAATGTCTTACACTTGTTATAATTTTCGCAAAGTCCCTTATTGACATTGATTCATTTAAATCGTTTTTCAACAGCATAGTTATATTTGTGAATTGTAAAGTAAATATATCTGTTAGTAATTTTGACCACGTTAAGCAAGATTTTATAGATACTTAGATTAGATACTTCATATATGGCATGATTCGTTGCAATATATTTTGTCACCTTCTATACAACTATACAATCTAAAGTATAGTTTCTTCCAATAATGCACGATTCTAGTGTTAACTAATTTTATTAATTAATTTTCTTTTAATTTGTTTCCAAGTCGTGAACGATTATGGTTAAAATAAATTACACTGCTGCCATTTTTGGGGCATTGAAGAAGGAGGAAATACTTAAGATTGACTTAAAAGAAGCTGATCAAGACATCTTCGAGCGTATTATTGAGAATATAAATACTCAATTATCAGGTAAGTCAATTATTTTTTTAAAAAATTAACATACATGTTAGGCGTAAGATATGTAATGCTTATTATTTTTGTAAAATGAAAATTATAAAAGGTAATTCGTTTAATGATAACGAAACAAATGACGAATCAAGCACAGTGCCGATAAATGTATTAAATACGTTAGATACCCCTCTCTTAAAAACATATGACAGGTCAACCACATTAGTGCCGATAAACGTAGTAAATACGTTAGATACCCCCCCTCTTACAAACATATGAAGAGTCAAGCACATTAGTGCCGATAAACGTAGTAAATACGTTAGATATCCCCCTCTTAAAAACATATGACAGGTCAAGCACATTAGTGCCGATAAACGTAGTAAATACGTCAGATACCCCCCCTCTTACAAACATATGACGAGTCAAGCACATTATTGCCGATAAACGTAGTAAATACGTTAGATACTTCCCTCTTAGATAGAACCACAGGTAGTGATAGGGACCTTGATTTGAATAATATGTCAAAAACAAGCCTTAATAGCACTTCTAATGTTGCTCTACTAAGAGCTATAAAATTGAAAAACTCCACCAAAAATTTAAATAGAGATGTAGTTATGGGTTAGGGAAGCAATAAGAAACGTAAAATGTCGTTTAAATGTTCAGTAAAGGACTCAGAATTTTTTATTGAAAATATGTTGCAAACTTTAAACGACCATAAGTCAAAATTTTCGACTGAGAAAATTATTCAACACAAAATAACGTTTGCGATATAAATATAAAATAAATAAGAATGAATGCAAAAGGCTTTAGATGTTGCGGATACTGTGTTGATCCATCCTGTAACACATATTTGTTTAAGAGGAACTGTAAAATCAGCAAGTGTAAGCTGTACTAGTGGCTTGGGAAGAAATAACTAAAAAGTAAGTTGGACAGAGTCTTCTTCCCAGTCACCGCGATCAGTGTTTTTTTTGTGT